GAGGAGGAGGTGGTGGTGGTGGTGGAGGAGGAAGAGGAGGAGGAGGAGGAGAAGCCCGCAGGAACACGAGGCGCTATGGGTTCCTAGACAGCGAAGCGTGCCCCCATACTGACTTGCTTATACATCCTCATGATATGCTGTTTGGGGTCTTCGCTGTTTAGGTTCACCCTTCCTCTAGCAAGGGTGTACAGTGCGCTGGATCAGGCTCAGTATCTGCCCCACCGTAGGACATATTTCCGCTATGGGGGAGGGCGAGGTGGAGTGGGCGGGTGGGAGGGAGACCCCTTCCCGCTTCTGAGTGGCCCTGTTTCCGATCACACTTTCGGCCAGGCTTCCGAGAGGCATCCATAGCCTCTGTCTTCCTTTCTTTTTCATTCTCTCAGGAGATTTGTTCCGATCCAATCTGGTCCGAGGAGGAGCAGGAAGAGGAGGAGGAGGAGAAGCATGCGGACACGGTGTTGGCGGACGGAGGAGGCGGAGGAGGAACAAGATGATGATGCTGATGACGATGACGATTCTGATGATGATGACGATGGTGATGATGCTAATGCTGATCATGCTGCTGATGATGCTGATGAGAATGATGAGGATGATGATGAGGCTGGTGATGATGACGATGATAGTGATGATGGCTATGATGATTATCATGTGTTGATGATGATGCCGATGATGATGCTGCTGGTGAGGATCATGATGATGATGATGATGCTGATGATGATGATGATGATGATGATTATTATTTTATGTTGCTGCCGCTGATTATTATGATGGTGACGATGATGTCGGTGCTGCTGCTGATGATGCTGCTGTTGCTGCTCATGCTGATGATGCTGACGATGATGACGATGCTGATGATGATAATGATGATGATGATGATGATGATGATGATGATGCTGCTGATACTGATTATGATGATGACGCTGTTGACGATGGTGATGCTGATGCTGTTGATTCTGATGATGATGACGAGGATGCTGACGATGATGGTGACGATGATGATGCTGATGCTGATGGTGATGATGATGATGATGATGGTGATGATGCTGCGGCTGAGGATTTCGATCATGATGACGATTCTGATGGTGATTGGCTGCTACTGATGATGCTGATGATGCGGATGATGATGAGGATGATGATGATGATGATGATGTCGATGATGATGGTGATGATGCTGATGATGTTGCTGATGCTGGTGATGATGACGATGCTGATGCGTTCGCTGATGATGATGGGGATGCTGCTGGTGTTGATGATGCTGCTGCTGTTGATGATGATCATGATGATGATGATGATTATGATGATGATGGCGATGCTGGTGATGATGATGGTGCTGCTGCTGCTGATTTCGAGGGTGATGCTGACGATGATGATGATGATGATGCTGCTGCTGCTGATGATGACGATCATGATGACGATTCTGATGGTGATTGGCTGCTACTGATGATGCTGATGATGATGAGGCTGATGCTGATGCTGATGTGTATGATCATGATACTGGTGATGATGATGATGATGATGATGATGATGATGATGATGATGATGTCGATGATGATGATGATGATGATGATGATGATGATGAGGGTGATGCTAATGATGATGATAATGCTGATGCTGATGCTGATGATGCTGATGATGATGATGCTGATGGTGCTGCTGATGATGTATACGATGCTTCTGATGATGGAGCCGCTGCTGCTGGTTCCGAGGGTGATGCTGGTGATCATGATGATGTTGTTGCTGGCGGTGAAAATGATGATGATGAGGATGATGATTCTTCTGCTGATGATGATGCTGACGATGATCATGATGCTGATGATGGTGATGGTGCTGATGATGCCGCTGATGATGATGATGATGCTGCTGCTGGTGCTGATGATGATGCTGGTGATGATGATGGTGATGATCGTGATTGTTATGATGATGATGATGATGATGATGATGATGATGATGATGATGATGATGATGATGATGATGATGATGATGATGATGATGACGATGATGATGATGAGGATGCGGATGATGGTCAAGGTGGCGGTGGTTGTGGCGGTGGTTGTGGTTGCAGTGATGTTGATGGCGATGCTGATGATGATGGTGATGATGATGAGGCTGATGATGATGATGTTGATGATAATGATGATGATGATGATGATGATGATGATGATGATGATGATGATGATGATGATGATGACGAGGATGAGGATGATGAGGATGATGAGGATGATGAGGATGATGATATGATGACGCTGATGGGGATGATGAATCTGCGGAGGAGGACGAGGAGGACGAGAACGAGGCGGAGGAGGACAAGGACGAGGAGGAGGAGGACAATGAGGAGGAGCAGGAGGAGGCGGAGGAGGAGGATGATGAGGAGGATGAGGATGGGGGAAGAGGATGAGGAGGCGAAGGGGGTTGTGGCAGAGGAGGCGGAGGAAGTTGATTATGTTGATAATGATGACGATGCTGACGAAGATGATGATGCTGATGCTGAAGCTGATGCTGATGCTGATGCTGATGCTCAGGGTAATGATGATGATGCTGATGCTAATGCTGATGCTGCTGCTGTTGATGATGCTGATCTGATGAGGATGATGATGATGATGATGAGGATGATGAGGGTCATGACGATGCTGCTGAAAATGATGATGTTGACGATGATGATGGTGATGATGCTGCTGCTGATGATGATGTTGATGATTTTCATGATGATGCTGATGATGCTGATGATGATGATGATGGTGCTGATGGTGATGCTGATTATGCTGGTGATGATGATGCTGATGATACTGATGCTGATGACGCTGATGATTACGATAATAATGACGATGCTGATGCTGCTGATGATGCTTATGCTGATGTGGATGATGACGATGACGACGACGACGGCGGCGACGGTGATGATGCTGCTGATGATGCTGCTGCTGATAATGATGATGATGCTCATGATGATTGTGATGATGATGATGCTGATGATGCTGATGATGATGATGCTGATGACGATGACGCTGCTGCTGCTGTTGATGCTGATGCTGCTGATGATGATGATGATGATGATGATGATTGCGGTGGCGGTGGTGGTGGTGGTTGGGGTTATGGTGGTGGTTGTGTGGATGAGTATGATGATGATGATGATGATGATGCTGAAGATGATGGTGATGATGCTGATCATGGTGATGCTGATCATGGTGATGCGGATGATGATGATGCTGATGATGATGATGATGATGCCGATGAGGCTGATGATGATGATAATGATGTTGATGATGATGCGGATGATGAAGATGATGATCCTGACGATGATTCTGACGATAATGCTGCTGCTGTTGTTGATGATGATGATGCTGATGCCGATGCTGATGCTTATGATGATGATGATGGTGATGATCGTGATTGTGATGATGATGATGAGGATGATGAGAATGAGGATGAGGATGAGGATGATGACGATGATGATGATGATGATGATGATGATGATGGTGGTGGTGGTGGTGATGATGATGATGATGATGATGATGATGATGATGATGATGATGATGATGATGATGCGGATGAGAGGACGCGGCAGACGTGGAGGACGAGTATGATGACGATGTCGAGGTCGAGGACGGGGAGGAGGGAGTGGAGGAGGGAGGGAGCGGGAGCATGTGAAGGGCGGAGGGAGGATATGTTTTTTTCGCAAAGGGCGGATGCATTACAATTAGTTGTGTACTTTTCAGTTGCTGTGAAGATTGCTTACATGCCCGGCAACGTATTGTCTTACACAGTTCTGGCATGTTGATCGCCAGTAGGTTGTCTAAACATTGGGTTTCAAAGCTTGCGCCCCGCCGGCAACACATCGAGCATGGACTCGATAGCGTGTGCCGAACGAGCGCACTGACGAATTGGAGTGGTTGCACATTGGGATCAAAGTTGTTGCAGATACTGCATCTCCTGTCCATTCAGCGCTGCTGTAGACCCAGTAGGTAAGGATAGGATGGTTTCCAGCCCTCCTCAGCTGCCGGGGCACGGACGCGGTGCCAGGGACAAATTCCCGCCACTGCTCAGGAGAACAGTCTCCCAGCAAAGCGTGGCCCTCTGTCACGCTTGAGCCATTAAACCCCAGGGCGATGGAATTGCACGCTCTTGTGAGGCGCAGCTGGAGGCTGGGAGAGAGCAGCTGGACAAGGTTTCGGCGGCGCCTAATTTACCTTCCTTCTTGTCCTCCCTCCTCTCGGCCTTCTTCTTCTTCTTCTTAGGCGCCGCCTTAGCCTTCTGTCTTGACTTTTTGTCCCTCTCTGTTCTTTGAATGGACTTGTGGACTTGTGGACTTGTGCATGCCACCCGAGGGAGGAGATGTGCGGGGGCGAGGGGGGGCGGGAAGGGCGCACGAGGTTCTTCGCGTGTCTTGGGTGAGGTCTTTTTTGGGTGGTGCCCCATCGGGGCAACATCCAGGCGCTTGCGGGCTCTCTGTCTTTTTTCTCCGTGTCCTGCGGCTTCCGCCCGATTTGACCGTGAGGCTGCTGCGCAACTCGCCGCCCATTGATGACGATGATGATGATGATGATGATGATGATGATGATGATGATGATGATGATGATGATGCTGTCGATGATGATGCGAATGATGATGATGATGTTTATGACGATAATGACAGTGCTCATGATGCTGATAAAGATGATGGCGATGATGATGATGATGATGATGATGATGATGATGATGATGATGATGATGATGACGCTGCTGTTGTTGATGATGATGTTGATGCTCATGCTGCTGATGATGATGATGATGATGATGACGATGCTGACGATGCTGCTGATGATGCTGATGAGGATTATGTGGAGAGATGCTGATGATGTTGATGATGATGCTCATGCTGCTGATGACGCTGCTGCTGATGATGATGATGATGCCAATACTGATCATGATGATGCTGATGATTATGATGATAATGATGATGATGATGATGATGATTCTGATAATCATGCTCATGATGGTGACGATGCTGGTCATGATGATGCTGATGGTTATTATGATGATGACGACGATGGTGATGGTGCTGGTGATGATGATGATTCTTCTGCTGATGATGATGAGGATGCTGATGATGATGCTGATGATGCTGGTGATGATGATTCTGCTGCTGGTAATGATGCTGATGATGGTGAGTGATGATGATACTGATGCGGATGTTGGTGATGATGATGCCGGTGCTGCTGATGCTGCTGATGCTGATTAAGATGATGATGCTACTGATGATTCTGATGATGATGATGATGATGATGACGATGCTGCTGATGATGATGCTGATGCTGATACTGCTGATGATGCTGCTGCTTATGATGATGATGATGATGATGATGATGATGATGGTGATGCTGATGATGATGATGATGATGATGATGATGATGATCGTGGTGGTGATGCTGATGATGATGATGATGGTGGTGGTGATGATGCTGCTGATGGTGATGATGATGCCTATGCTGACGCTGATGATGTTGATGATGTTGATGATGAGTATGCTGATGGTGCTGACGATGCTTCAGACGATGATGATGACGATGATGATGATGACGATGCTGATGATGATGAGGATGATGGTGCTGACGTTGATGATGATGATGCTGATGCTCAGGATGAGGATGATGATGAGGCTGATGATGATGATGGTGCTGCTGATGATGCTGATGATGATGATGATGATGATGATGATGATGCCGGCGGTGATGTTGGTGGTGGCTGCGATGTTGTTGATGATGTTGCTGATGTTGATGCTGATGCTGCTGATGATGACGATACTGATGATGATGCTGATGATGATGTCGATGCTCATGATGATGGGGGTTGTGGTGATGGTGTTGGCGTCACTGATGATGAGGCCGATGATGCTGCTGATGCTGATGCTGAGGATGATGATGCTGATGATGACGATGATGATGTTGATGATGCTGCTGCTGATGATGCTGCTGCTGCTGATTATGCTGCTGAATCAGGCTGCTGATGATGCTGTTGATGATGATGGCGATTAATCTGATGATCATGATTCTGCTGATGCTGCTGGTGTTGCTGCCGCTGGTGATGATGGTGGGGGTGGTGGTGATGATGATGATGATCTTGATGCTGGTAGTGGTGAGGAGGAGGAGGAGGAGGAGGAATAACGAAGAGGAGGAGGAGGAGCATCAGCAGGGAGCATGGGGAGGAACGGACGCAGCAGCACCCGACCCAATCCTTACGGTAGGTTTCTGTCGCGGGCCGTTCTGGTGATGGCCTCCCGCGGCCCGCGAGCGGCCGCCGTGCTCTGTTCGCGGCGCCCTGGGGGGGCGTCGCTGGCCCGTCCAGCGCCGCTCAAAGCCAGTTCCTCGGACCCCTCCGCCTCGACACGTCTTTCGAGCCGTGGCCACGAGTGACCCCCCCCCATGCGCGCACCTCTGCGCGCAGCGGGGCGCGCGCAACCGAGCGTCGGCCTCCCGTCTCCTGACTCGCCTGAGCCAAAATGGCTACGGACGGCCACGACGGTGACGGCGACGGCGACGGCGACGACCGCGGCGGCGCCGCCGGCGGCGAAAGCGGCTGCCGCGACTACGACGATGACATCTGTAGCGGCGGCGACCGCGACGACGGCGGTGGCGGCGACGGCGCTCCGACGCGGCGAGGATGAGCTCTTCGATGGCACTACCGCGGCCGTGGCCTTGCTCGACAGGCAGCGAGGCCCTCTGGGTCTTCCCCCGCCGCGGTGGAGCCCCCCCGCCGCTCGCTCATGGGGCACGCGCGCAGGTGAGGAGGGGAGGGAGGGAGGGACGACTGACGAGGGAGCGAGGAGCGAGGAGCGCGGAACGCGGGCGAGGAGCGAGGAGCGAGGAGCGAGGAGCGAGGAGCGAGGCGCGAGAAGGAGGAATGAGGAGGAGAATGAGGAGGAGCGAGGAGGAGGAGGAGGAGGAGGAGGAGGAGGAGGAGGAGGAGGAGGAGGAGGAGGAGTGAGGATGAGGAGGATGAGGAACAGCGAGGAGGAGAATGAGCGAGGGAAAGGAACAAGGAACGAGGAGCGAAGAGGAGGAGCGAGGATGAGGCGCGATGCTGATTATGATGGTGACGATGGCGATGATGATGATGATGATGATGATGATGATGATGATGATGATGATGATGATGATGATGATGCTGATGATGATGATGATGATGATGATGATAATGCCGATGATGATGCTGATGATGCTGATGATGATGCTGATGAGGCTGATAATGAGGCTGATGATGCTGATGATGCTGCTGATAATGCTGCCGATGTCGATGATGCTGCTGATGATGCTGATGCTGCTGATGATGCTGATGATGCTGATTCTGATCCTGATGATGATGCTGCTACTGATGATGCTGATGATGATGATGATGATGATGATGATGATGATGATGATGATGGTGATGTTGTTGTTGATAAGGATGCCGATGCTGCTGCTGATGATGATGCTGTTGATGATCACGAAGCCGAGTATGCTGCTGATGCTGATGCTGATTTTGCTGATGCTGATGATGCTGATGATGATGGTGATGGTGATGATGATGCTGCTGATGATGCTGATGATGCTGATGATGTTGCTGATGAAAATGATGATGATGCTGGTGATGCTGACGATGCTGATGCTGCTTCGGATGCTGCTGCTGATGCTGATGATGATCCTGATGGTGATGGTGATGCTGATGCGGCTGATGATGATGATGCGGATACGGCTGATGATGCTGATGTTGATGATGATGATGAATCTGATTATGAGGTTGATGATGCTGGTGCTGATGCTGATGCTGCTGATGCTGATGCTGATGATGCTGATGATGCCGACGACGATGATGATGAGTAGGATGATTGTGCTGATGCCGATGATGATGATGATGATGATGATGATGATGATGATGATGATGATGATGATGATGATGATGATGATGATGATGGTGATGGTGATGATGATGATGATGATGATGCTGATGATGATGGTGGTGGTGATGATGACGATGATGATGATGATGATGATGATGATGATGGTGATGATGATGGTGGTGGTGCTGACGCTGCTGTTGTTGATAATGATGATGACGCATCCATTGCTGCTGCTGGGAGGCGGAGGAGGAGGAGGGGAGGAGGAAGAAGAGGAAGAGGAGGAGGAGGATGAGGAGGAGGAGGAGGACACCTCGGGCCCAGGAGCCCGTGGCAGTGCGCCAGCCCTAGGGGGCAAGCCACGATCGAAACAATATGACTATCAACATGTTTTACATCCTACAGCGTTTTACCACTCTCGATTCCCCATCTGCATACATGTGTGCACTTATTACACTGCGATCTTCTTTCCCGCGTTTGCGTTACGAGCACCACGCAGCACGAAGAGTTCGCGACACCGGCAGCGGCACTGTGCGTCCAAGCATACCAGACGAAAAGGCGGTGCCCCACATCGACATCGACATCCAGACCTCACGCCTTCACAGCCACCACGACGCCGACCACAGCTCCCAACCGCTAATACGTATTGTCCCAGCAAGGTGTTTACTTGACCAACCTACTCAGCAGCAGATACACGAAACACGACAGCTTCTTAACCAACACCACAGTGCACAACGACCACCACACGATACGACACACAGCATGTACAACCAAATCGGCGACACATACGGACGAACACCAACACCCCAAACCAAAGGCACAGGCAAACGGAAATATCACCACCAACAGCCACACGACAAAGGCTACAATACAAAATGGCAGCTAAAGGGCCGCAAATGTTACAAGGCATCCAACTCCCAGGCGTCCAACTACAACCCAATGCATACTACACAGCAGCACAACAAAGGCAACGGATACAGCCCACACACATCTTACCAACACCAATGCAACCACAATCAAAGAAGGCCCACCACACCAAGACCCAGGACACACCAGCGACCGACTCAAATAAGCAATCGGCAGGACAACCAACAGCCACAACCCAACTTCGGCAACAACGCTGACCACGCAGCATACATCGGCCAAGGGGCCAAGAGGATCATAGACAGCGTGCTAGAGGCATTCTACGTCGACGTCCAGAACAAGGACCGCCCAAACATTCCACCACTTGAAGTACGAGCAAGGATTACACAGGAGACAGCCAGCATCAGGAATCTATCATATCACACATAGTTGCAGTGGAGAAGGCCGACCGAACAGCAAACCTCCCACGATATTAATTTGCATTTACGAAGAGGCAGCTACTCGACCATAGGCCGCTGCTTGAACAGCTACAACACATACGCCATATCATAGAGGAAGAGCAGCATGCACCAAGGTCTCCGAGGCCATGCTCACGCAGACGCAACAACGACACGACGACAAGTTACGACTCACCAAGACCTGCGCAGACACCGAGAGGGATATCATCCAGCAGCGACAGCGCACCCGAGCCCACAAGCGACCCGCAATACATCGCCAAGAGCCCGAGACATCCAACTCAACCAGTTCACACCACGAAGCCCCACTACGACCGCTCAAGCCAACAACGCCGAGCCCGCGCGCAAAGAAAGACGCCACTCGACTCGAGACGCTAGTCAGAAAGGCACTCGACGACCTAGAAGCAAGCGACAGAATCATACGATTACTAATACTTGCCCAACAGACCAGCACCGGCGACAAGCAAACACATCGCCGACTTGAGTGCGCGGGAGACACCATGCATCAACTGCAAACGGCCTGAGGCTACCTTTCAACCGACTGCCACAACGCAAGGGGACAACCATTGGCGGCGCAAAATTTTGAACAGCAGGCCATTCGCAAAGAGCAGCTTGCAATGCAACGCGCTACCATAGAGGAAGAGCAAGCGCAGCTCGCGGCAGCCCAAACGATGCAGTGGAACCACCGAATGGAAGAAGCCGCGACGCAACTGCTGCACTACCGCGCCGAACTGCAGCAAGGAAAACAAAAACCGGCCGAGGCGTTGGTCGACCATGCCGAAGCCCGCAAACGGCACGACATGATAGAGGAAGACTCCATGGCGGCTCTTGCTGAGCTTCGACTGGAGCTGCAAGCAAAACGCCAGCAGCTCGCAGCCCAACCGCTGCGCGAAACGCGCCAGCATCGAAAAGACAGCGGCCGAGCAAATATAACAACATAATACCGCATGCAACGCACCGCGCAACAGTTTTGCAACCGCTGCCACGAACGCCGAGCGGCATTAGAGCAGAGACCAGCGCCATGCATCAGCACGGCCGAGCAAAGTATTTAATTGCTTCAACGGGGCCTGCGAGAAGAGGCGACCGCGCCGCGCTGGCAAGGGCGGCGCCTGCGAAGACACCGAGAGCAACCTGCAGAACAGGAAGATCAGAAAGCACGCGCCCAAGCAATCTCAGACCAATGGTGGCAGCGCGGGAAGCAGTCGCAACGGCGCAAAGACTACGTCGCAAAGAACCCGCGATTCTGGCGCATTGCCGCGAAGAGACAGCTGCTGGGGTCATTTTCGGCAACGCGGATCCAGATCTACTTGCCGTCGACCGACGCTAGCGCAGCGCCGTCGACCAGGGGCAATCGCGCGCGCAACGAGCGCAGACGCCACATGCGCGAGCAGAGGAGGAGCTACAACGGATGCGAGACCAACTGAGTGACACCATCGGCGACGCAACTCCTGAGAGCACAATTGGAGACGACCGGCGCATCGAGCGCTGCGATGATAGCGCAAGAGACCCCGCGGACAACGCGCGCGACAACGCAACCGTCGACTCCGCTCAGCAGTCATTATGATTTTTAGTCAGCGGCTGCAGGCGAGCGCGCCAGCGGCGGGCGCAGTCAAAGCGGGGCACGCAACGACGAAGTAACCTGACCGAACGCGACGGGGCGCGGCCTCACCTAAAGCGGGGGGGTGGAGCCTCGCGCGGCACCTCAGCGGCGGGCCGACGAGCGGAGGGGGCTGGCTGTAGCTGAGTACCAGTACTACCAGGGTGCACGCATGCAGCGCGTCCGGAGCTGCAGGTAGTCGGGGAGACTGGCGACCGGCTGCGGGCCGGCGAACGGGCAGCTAACGCTGAGTCGAACTGGCACCGTGCAAGTACGCATAGCGTCGGATGCACCAGGAAGCCGGGGCGCGCGACGACCCGGGCCAGAAGCTGAAATAAATGCAAAGACGCATCCCCAGACAACAGTTCGAGAACCAGGGTGGCCCGAAGGACCGGCGGTCAAGGTCGAATTAATGCTGAGATTAGGCGAGAGCGCTGGCAGGCTGCGAAATCCCAGGGTGGCCGTAGCCGCGCGCCTCGAGGCAGCAGAACGCTCGAGCGCGGGGAGCAGCAGAGCTGCCGCGCAGCCAACATGGCGCTGGCCACCACGGGCCAGTGCGTGAAGTGGGGCCAGGATAACTAACCACGAGCCCCGAACAGGGCCTCGAGCCCGAAGTCAGCGCGCCAAAGGTGGCGACAGGCGGGCGAAGGCACCGCGGGGGAGATCCAAGCCTGAGACCGCGGAATCGACCGCGCGTGGTGGGGGCGCGAAAGCCAGAGCGAAGTCAAAGCAGTCACTATACGCGCCGACAGAACCCGCTCAAATCGCACCGACAGAACCAGCCGCGCCCAGAGCGCCAAGGACGATGCATGCGGCAACAACGCCGACTAAGTTTGCGAGCGAGCGCGACCCACTACCCCGCGCGTCAGAGCCCAGAGCCAAACTCACATGCGACATGCCACTGGAGACGCACCCAGATACTTCT